TGAATTATACCTTCCATCAGGCTACTGAGGAAATCGAGTCCAACTCCAGTCATAAGTAGAGAAATGAAATTAGTAGTTTGTCTTTTTGCACTGCTAGGTTTGGTATATCATTTCTTCTCTCTCGTTTCCTAAAGTTTTAGCTTTTTACGTGGATGCACTATGATGAATCTTCTTTGTGCCTTATCTGTGGTACGTCTTGGCTACAGAATTTGGTGTACCACACGTTCAGTGCATAAAGCTATCTTCCAGGTGACTTATTCTTGTTCAATTTTGTTATATTCCCATGTCTTTCTACCTGTGTTGTGCTCATTTTTGAGGTGATTGGCATGTAGTCTGGGAGAGAAAAGTCTAAGAGTTGGTCTAACTTAAGCCCATATGCCTCAGGAGCAGGAGTGTACAAGTGTTAACTGCTTTGTTTACCCTGCGTTATTAGTCTTTTAGCAAATGTACTTTTGGTCAGATGGCAAAATATTTTACTGATGTCACAGAGAATTAGCTTCTGGCATTGTAGGTTGTTCTAGCAAGGTACAGAACGTATCTGCCTCTCTCTTGCACTCCTTTGAATGAGTCTTTGTTAGGTTTTTTTAAAGGTGAGTGTTTTGCTCTGTTCCAGGTATATTAATTCTTAGTTCTTCAACTTACTGAGACCGTTCTGACAGCTGCTTTCAGTAGTAGTAGACTAGAGTGAAACTCAGGGCATTGGTGATTCTGTAGAAGCATGACTAATGTTGTTTTTTGAACTGCTAATATCCTTTGGTTCACTTGGGCTTTCAGAGGTCACAACTCTTTCCAGAAAGATGAACTTCATTTTTCCCTCATCTAAAATAAGCCATGCTACAGGCAGTTACACTTGACTGTGTTTGGTTGTGCGTGTAGTGGATGCATCTGCTGTATGTATATGTGAAGGACTGAGGTCTCTTTCTCCTTGATCTCTTATCTGTTTGATAGAGATAAACCACAGTGAGGCAGGACAGTGTTCTATTATCTGGTGAGAGGGTTTCTAGAGTTTGTGTTGAAGTTTCTTAGAGAAAACGTTCTTTGTAATAAAAAAACACCTTAGGACAAATGCTGTGTTGAAAATAAAGACTTCTCCCGCTAAAGGAGACCGCTGTCAGTATTCAGGTTTGAAGTCAATTTGAAGAATTTCAAGAAAAGAATCACCAGACAGATTGTTACAACTTCTCTACTTCCTCTTTTATAAACATATAAAGGTGTTGAGAAACCCTGAAATAAACTTTGTTCTTTGTTACCCTATGGCAGTGCATTGACCTAAGCAGAAGATTGTTATCGCTCCTTTAAAGCTGATGTCAGCTTAGATTAGTATGACTTCAACTAACTGTCATTTTAAAAAGAAAAAAAAACAACAACAAAAACAAACAAAAAACCCACCCAAACCTGTCATAAACCAGAAGACTTTTGTTTTTAGTTTTTAGTTGCTCAGATCTTGCAGATGTTCTTTTAACAACTGCCAGAAGTTCCAAAGAGACCAGAAGAGTTATTGACAAAGGCTGATAAGAACCATCCATGAATCTTAAACCAGAGTAGCAAACCTTTTTTTCCTGATCTATCTGACTCTCTAAAATAGAAGGGCAGACTATAAAAACCTGCTTAAGTACAGTTTTGTTCCTGTCAGAATATTGTCATTTTCTCCTGACTGTTTTCTTCATCAGAAGGGAACGACAGATTTTTTCAGCCTATTGTTGAAAAATAATATTAATAACTAGATTAATAATGTGGGAAGGATTTTTAGATTCTCCTTCCATGTTCCTGTTCAAATAAGGAATGCGTACATGCTTGAGTTTGATCACTTTCTTTGAATCTTCTGTCTAAGGAGATAGAAGTCCTAGGAAAGAAGCGTTAAAAAAATGCCATGTGAAAGGTCTCCCTAGATGCTAGAATTGGGCAGTGTGTTTGCTGTTGGAGTAAAAGTCATAAATGTTTTCATTTGCTTTTTGCAGGAAAAGAGAAGAAAGTAGGAGTTCTTGCAAATACTTGTGCGAACTCTCACCTGTTCTGTACAACAGTCAAGAATGCCAAGATGTATGGGCTTGCTTCCCATCCATCCATAATAGGGCGTATACCTGTCTTGTTTCTTGATGTACCCTACCCTGACTTGAGTAAACTGAAAACAAAGGCCTCTGCTTCTGATCAACTGTTGTTACTAAACCTTGAGCACAGGTCTGAGGATCTCTTTAGAAAAGCTCATTTTATATCTAGATTATGGAGCAGAAATCCTGAATGATTAGGACTGCAGGCAAGGTTGACTACAACCTTAATTGGGTGGCATTGCTTTATATGGAGGCAGACTGTACTTATGATTAATTATGTAGTTACAATTTGAGTCCTTTGGAGCCAAACCTCGTTGGTGGACAAGTTGAGTAGTATTTTTTTTACCCTTACATTTTCACGAGCAATCCTGTCGTAGTTAGCAAGTGCTTCCCAAAGCAAACACTGTATGTTTCTGTTCTGCTTATCACCATTACAACTGGCTATTTCACAAGAAGCAATGAAATTATCAGCACAGTAAGGTACTTGGTGAGATGGTTGGGATCGTATTATTTCCCTTTATCAGTAAATATGGACACTGATGACATATTAAGATACTTGTAAAAAAAAATCTACTAAGCAAGAGTGTTTAGTTTAAGATGCCTGACTCACCATCTTAAGATTTGTTAAAGTACAATTCCTATGTATTTCTGTCACTGAATGTTTAATTCTTCTTGCCATCCCTATGATACGGAACTAAGCTTAGGCTACCTGGTTGAAACTCCACTGACTTACCTTTCATCACAGAAATCAGGTCCAATCTCTCAGAATTTCTTCAGTTATATTGACTAAAATTTAAATAATTAGATTATTGCAGTATCAGACATATTTCCTTTTGTTTTGTTATTGGGCTGCAGGTTTTTTTTGGCAATGAGTTCTGTTTTAGTGAAACTCAAAGAAGAAAACTCAGCTTGATGTAGGCACATGGCGTGGAAAAAGGCTTAAGTTTGGCAAACTTCTGAAGCTCTGTACTTCGTGAATTATGATAGGAACCACAAAGCAAACCTTAATAAGTCGGGTCTATTAGCTCTGGTTATAAATAGGTGAGATGTAACTGCTGCATTAAGAGGAGAGCTTGGAAGGGTGAGGCGAAGAGTATTATTATTGTGATAAGTTTCCTTGTCTCTGCTTTCTTCTACCTTAGTCTCTGAAATTCACACAGTAGCTGGTAAGAATCTTGAAGTATAAACTACCAGTGATCGACTTTCCTATGGCCAATATGTTTTACAGATGTTTTCTGCGAGCTCTTACATTGTTTGGCCAGAGCAATATTTTTGTGCAATGTTGCTTGGCCAAGCATTTGCTGCTACTTTGTAGCTAGTAGACCTCTTGATAATTTAATGGGTCAGTTAGCACTGTCAGCTGCCCTGACCAGATACGTATTTGTCTATCTTCAGTTAACCATCTTCCTGGCAGATTTTGTGAGATGAATAAGGGAGAGGCCTCTGGAATAGCTCTGTTTGTCATGCAGGAAGACTGGCAGGAACTGAGAGAGAGAATAGTGGATTCCGTTTGGTTTAAAGTCAAAACAAACATTCCCGGAAAACCAGAGCTGTCTTGGTGGCTCAAGAATTTACAAAGGAATTTGAGAGGAAATTAATGGGAATGAAGATTAATTCTCTTTTCTTTTTTCCTCCCTGACAGCAGTAGGTGTTCTTGTGCTCTAAGAGTGAAAACCAAACACTACCTACAATCTTAGTTCTAAAGAATGTCTTAGTTTTCCCCTTTTCTGGCGAATACTCTTCAAGATACCACTGAATTGGGCCACACAAAGAAGGAAGCTAAGCAGCTTAAATATGCTGAAGAAGCAGGGGTAGGGTGAGACACGAGGGAGACCAGCAAACCTGATCAACAGAATTGCTTTGCTTAGTCTGCTTACTTCAGGTTTGTCATGTGGCTGTCAGGTCCGCTAGTAAATATGAAAGGCAAATGTCAGGAGTGCAGGA